CTCTCCCAGCTGTGTCTCCCTTCTGTTGCCGATTCCCCCGTTACTACCCTGTGTATATAAGCCCTGTGTTTTCCCATGCTCAGTGTCGCGTCGTACCATCAGTTTATGCCTGTGTGTTCTTGGTCTCAGTGTTCCGTCCTCACTTCATGTTTGTTTTCCTGCCAGCAATAAAGCTGAGGTTTTTGAGTTACATTCCATTTTCCGAGTCCTGCATTTGGATCCTCATCTCTGCCTGCCCGCACACAGAGCCTTGACACTACCACCAAATATGAATTCTGCCAACATTAGTCTCCTGCTAAAACCAGGCAAAGATCCTTTATTTCCCTCAAGCTATCGTCCAATTTCTCTTTTAAATGTAGACCTTAAAATAATCTGCAAAGCTCTCTCAAAGAGATTAGAGAAAATAACCCCCCTCTTAATTCATCCTGACCAAACTGGTTTCATAAAAGGTCGGCACTCCTCAACAAACACTCGTAGATTACTTAATTTAATAGACTACTCATACAATAAAAACATCGAAACCATAATATTATCTCTAGATGCAGAAAAAGCATTTGACAGAGTTAACTGGAAATTTTTATTCGCAACTTTACACAAATTTGGTTTTGGAAACTCTTTCATAAACTGGATAAGAATATTATACAATTCCCCAACAGCTCGTATCAGAACAAATGACCAGACATCCTCCAGCTTCTGTCTCCTGAGGGGCACCAGACAGGGATGCCCACTCTCCCCTTCACTTTTTGCAATTTTTATCGAACCTCTAGCAGCAGCATTTAGACAGGCTACAACAATTAAGGGCATAAAATGTAAGAACATAGAACATAAAATCAGTCTCTATGCGGATGATGTGTTGCTTTTTCTGCAAAACACACAAACCAACCTCTCTGAGGTAATTACTCTAATAAACTGGTTTTCAAGAGTTTCAGATTATTCAATTAACTGGCCAAAATCTACAGTTCTCCCCATTAACTGCTCCTTCCATAATTCTTCCTCTTCCCCACTGCAATCCGGAAATATTAAATATTTAGGTATTAATGTTTCTCCTAAGCTTTCAGACTTAACTAAATTAAACCACATCCCACTTCTAACCACTCTGTGGTTCTGTCCACCAGTGCAGAAGTTTTGGCGCGAGATATGTGAAGATTTATCAAAGTGTCTAAAATGTAAAATTCCAACCTCCCCTTTAGTATGCATGTTGGGAAAACTGGATGAGGTCACTACAGAAACTAATACAGTCCACATGGTTTTTACTGCCCTATGCATCGCCAAGAAAACGGTCCTCATGAACTGGAAAAATAAAAATAATCTTAATTCTAGCCAATATAGAAACCTTCTAATGGATCACATTAGTCTCGATTTAGCCTCTGCCGCCACAGCACCTCTGGGCTCCTTTGATCGGCTCCATCACCTAGCAGGGGTAGGGGGTCGTGGTTTGGTCCCGCCTTAGCTACTGTGGTTGATATGGAGTTGGGACGGGCTTAGGGCGCCTGGAGGACCCCTAGAGATGTTACCCCTGGAGGGCTTAACCCGGGGGTTGTGTTCATAACCTGGTTAGTGGCTCTGGTCGCTCTTAGAGGTTGTTCTCCTCGTGGCTGCGTGCAGCGGGGCTGGAGGATGGTCTGTACTGGTGGACGTAGGTTACTGGCCTGGTGGCCTGGCTGCCCCTGGGTGGATCCGGGGCAGGCATGGGGGTTTGGGGTTCGGGGGTGCTTCGCCTCCGTGTTTGGGCTCTGGCTGGGCCTTGGGGGCTTTGGTCCTCGTCGGTGTGTCACCGAGGTTGTGAGCGGGTGGGTGCACGGGGGCTCAGCCCTGGCGCAGGGGGCCTCTTGTGCATCGGCCTAACTGGGGGGCTCTTCAACTGGCGGGGAGGCTGTTCCATCCTTGCAGGAGTCCACTCTGCAGGTGGGGGAGAGACATAGGAGAGGTGGAGAATAAACTTAACCTGGGTGTCTGTTGTCTTGTGTAGTCTGGGAGACGATTGAATGTTGGGGTGGGTACAGTTTCCTCTGCGGTGGGGTAGGGTGGGCTGCCCTGCTCCCTTGCCTTGGTGGGTACCAGAGGACGGGGGTGCCTACTGGGGTCAGCGGGGGAACTGGCCCTAGGGAGGGGCATCCTCCCCTCCCTCCTTCTCCTCCCCATCCCCGGCTACCTCTCTTCCCGCTCCACCACACTCACCCACACAGGTAGGGCCTTGGGGTGCGGGTGTGTCACGAGGGTGCAGGGGAGACATTCCCCCCCCTCTGTCCCCTTCTGGCCACCTGTGCCTCAATTTTATCTCACAACTTAGACATCCACATTACTTACACTCTCATAACACACACATATATATATAGGGCCTTGAGGGTGGGCACGTTAACGGCGTCCAGTGGACAGTCTGTGTACTCAAACCTACCTCTGGCGCTGGTGCCCACCTCTCAATTTTAAATCCATGTAGACATTGAGGGTTCTCTGGAGGGGCCGTGCTAACACCTGCTGCTCTCTGGCAGCAGCACCATGCTCTCCCTTGTTTTAAATGCACTTTAGAACAACACGCAGCAACACTACACATGAGCGGGAGGAGGGAGGTATGGGGTCTTCACACACCCCCGTTCTCTGCTAGCCATCGGGGCGGGGGGGCTGGGGGGAGATGTTGGCTGTCCGATTGGCCTCCCTGCTGCTGCGGAGCCTGGGGCGGTCTGCTTGCCTCCACCCCGGGGGGAAGGGTAGCATCTCTTGGGTCTGGGTTCTGTTTCCCCCTCTGGGGGCGAGGGTACCTGGACCCGGGGTATAGAGTATATTTGGGGAGTGTGATTGTGTGTACATGTCCATTTATGTCAATCCTTACGTTGGGTGAGTGCTGAGTGTTTGTATATGTGTGCATGAGGGTGGGAACGCATGTTTGTGTCTGTGTGTGCCTGTTTGTCTGTGTGTATATGTCAGGTCGGGTCTTAGACTCCACCTCTCTGGGAACTCCCAGGCCCTCCAAGGCCTATCTCCCCTCACCACACTCCCTGCCGGTGACTGATGCCCTCAGGGGTCGGTGCATTGGTGGTTCTTGGTGTCCGGGGCTGGGCACTCAGGTATGTACCAGCTCACTCCCGGTGGCTACCTGGCGGGGCCTGGCGCCTGTTGCTCGGTCAGGCCTCCTCCGGGGTGTGGGGGGCCCTCGGGCCTCCGGCCTCTGGGCCTCCAGCTCGGTTCACTCTGGCACAGCTGGCTGCCAGCAGAGCCGGCGGGCATGCCGGTGCAGCCCCCTCTAGCTTCTGCTCGGTGGCTACTGGGTGACGCCTCGTCTGGGGATCCTCAGCCCTTCCCATGAGGGTGGCACGGATGCCCCTCCGGTAGTCCTCCTTGGGCTCTCGCACTCTGGGGCCTCTGGATGTCTGGGGCCTGGATCTCCTCCATGCCTGCTTCATGCCCTGGGGGACGGGGCTATGGCTCGCTACATCCTCTTGCAGACCATTACATGTGGAAACCATTTGAATACAAGCGCGCTGATCCACACAGGTGTGCACACGGATGTTCACTGCTCGTAGACTTAAATTACACCTTTCTTGGCTGCTACTTCAAAGCACATTGTGCGCTGTCGGTCCTGCGTGCTGCACAACAACATTGAATTTTTAGTATTTACTGCTGTTTACACTTAGCTAGATTAATGCGATGGTGTTGTGTTTAGTATGTTGCTTTGTTTTTTTTTGCTTGTTTTCTATTCTTTCTCTCTCAACAGGTGATCCAGGAGATTTTTTTCCCCCTTTCTCACTGTCCCTCTCCCCTTCTGTTTTTCTTTTCCTTCCTCTTTCTCTCTCACTTTCCTATCCCTCACTCATGTCTGTCCCGTCTGTAACATCTGAAAATAAAATATAATAAATAATAAAAACAAAGGTCGATCAAATGGACCAATACGGCAATGCCACGATGATCCATTTGGCAAAATAAATCCATTGGGTATCCTTGTTGGTCTTCAGACAACAATTCTGACGGCTAAAGAACCAAATGGGACAGGGCAAAAAAAAAAAGAAAAAAAAAAATTCTGATCACACACAAGTTTAAATCTTCATGTGTACAAACCTAAATAAAAATTTATCATGTACAGTCTGAGCCTCCATGGCTAAAGAAATCAAGAGTGGAGCACCACCCGACAAAGTCAATCAAATAACTAGACAACACAGATGAGAAAAAACAGCACAACAGTGAGCTCACAGCAACAGTCACGAGACCAAAGAAACTGGAAACTGTTCCCCTCAGATAATAACAGATATCTGTGTGCTGTGTTTGGATCCAGTATGATTTCATGTGAATATTTTAAGAATCCATTGTGTTAGTCTACATTTTTGTCTTTCAATGCCACGTTTTAATCTTAGCATTTGTCGCTGTTTTCTTATTTCCTGTCCTACTTTGAATGTCTTGTGTTACCTGTGCTTTGTATGTAGTTCTTTTCTTGTCTTCTGGGATTAGTTAGCTGTCCTCCCTTTTTCCTTTGCCCTCTTTATCTGCCTGCATATATATATTGTCTGAGCTAAAACAGTACTCATCTCTCAAAAAAATTTAAACTTTAAATTTACCTGAGAATCGAGGATCATAGACTGACGGCTTAGAGACTTGTTTTTGTTCTGTTGGCTGGAGGAAGAAAATTTGTTTCCATTTTGTGCATATTAAAGATAATAATGATGTTCAAAAATATTTGGGCAAACTGTCTTTTATGTTACAGGAGACCATTTTCGTAACTGTGGCACCAACTCTAACATTTTTACCATCTTCAAACTGAGCTGTCATTTGTTTTTCAGGTTAAACACACACGGTCCACTTCCAATCATTCTTTGTATGTGAAAGGCTGATAACTCCTCCCTCTTATTCCTAAACCACAGCAGCTCCAGACTAAATGTATTTCCTGGTTCCCTCCCCTTTAGATCTGCACTTTGAAGATGGGTGTAACCAACATGTGGTGACGTGTAAGAGCTGACAGGCTCCGTTCACTGCAGAAACATGTTGTTGAGATCAGAGCTCAGATCAGTTTCAGTTATAAGGAAGTGAAACTCACACAGTCACTGACACTGAGAGGAGAAATGGCGCAGAAAGGAGTTCAGCTGGAGAGTGAAACAATTTCTTGTTCCATCTGCTTGGATTTCCTGAAAGATCCGGTGACTACAGCCTGTGGACACAGCTACTGCAGGAACTGTATTAAAAGTTTCTGGGATGAAGAGGACAGGAAGGGAATCCACAGCTGCCCTCAGTGCAGGAAGACTTTCACACCGAGGCCTGTCCTGGAGAAAAACATCATGTTAGCAGCTTTAGTGGAGCAGCTGAAGAAGACTGGACTCCAAGCTGCTCCAGCTGATCACTGCTATGCTGGACCTGAAGATGTGGCCTGTGATGTCTGCACTGGGAGGAAGCTGAAAGCCATCAAGTCCTGTGTGGTGTGTCTGATCTCCTACTGTGAGAAACACATTCAGCTTCATCTGGAGTCTCCTGCCTTTGAAAAACACAAGCTGGTGGCCCCCTCCAAGAAGCTCCAGGAGAACATCTGCTCTCGTCATGATGAGGTGATGAAGATTTTCTGTCGTACTGATCAGCAGAGTATCTGTTATCTCTGCTTGATGGATGAACATAAAGGCCATGAAACAGTCCCAGCTGCAGCAGAAAGGACTGAGAAGCAGAAGGAGCTCGAGGTGAGACGACTAAACATCCAGCAGAGGATCCAGGAGCGAGAGAAAGATGTGAAGCTGCTTCAACAGGAGGTGGAGGCCATCAATGGCTCTGCTGATAAAGCAGTGGAGGACAGTGAGAAGATGTTCACTGAGCTGATCCGTCTCCTCCAGAAAAGAAGCTCTGATGTGAAGCAGCAGGTCAGATCCCAGCAGGAAACTGAAGTGAGTCGAGTCAAAGAGCTTCAGGAGAAGCTGGAGCAGGAGATCGCTGAGCTGAAGAGGAAAGACGGCGAGCTGGAGCAGCTCTCACACACAGAGGATCACAACCAGTTTCTACACAACTACCCCTCACTGTCAGCACTCAGTGAGTCTACACACTCATCCAGCATCAATATTCGTCCTCTGAGCTACTTTGAGGACGTGACAGCAGCTGTGTCAGTGACCAGAGATAAACTACAGGACATTCTGAGAGACAAATGGACAAACATCTCACTGACAGTCACTGAAGTGGATGTTTTACTGTCACCACCACAACCAGAGCCAAAGACCAGAGCTGGATTCTTAAAATATTCACGGGAACTCACACTGGATCCAAACACAGCACATTTAAATGTGGTATTATTTGAAGGGAATAGAAAAGCAAAAGCAATCAAAAAACAACAGTCTTATTCTGATCATCCAGACAGATTCACTAAATGGTATCAAGTCCTGAGTAGAGAGAGTCTGACTGGACGTTGTTACTGGGAGGTGGAGTGGAGAGGGCGTGAAACTGATATAGCAGTCTCATACAAGGATATTAACAGATTAAGGACAACATTTGGATATAATGATATATCTTGGGCAGTGCGCTGTGACAGAAACGGTTATGAATTCTGGCACAACAAAGTCCAAACTGTCCTCTCAGGTCCTCGGTCCTCCAGAGTAGGAGTGTACCTGGATCACAGAGCAGGTATTCTGTCTTTCTACAGCGTCTCTAAAAACATGACTCTCCTCCACAGAATCCAGACCACATTCACTCAGCCGCTCTATGCTGGATTTTTATTTTCTGAAGGAGACACTGCAGAATTCATTAAACTGTAAAAGATAGAAGATGCAGTTAGTTTAAATGTGTCTTTCAGTTTCCAGTTTCATTGTTATGGTGTTTAATCTTCACATAGATCACCTGTCAGTCACTCTTTATAAGTTCTACTTTCAGATCTTATTAATTGTCTTCTAGTTAATTGTTGTTTTTGTTTGATTTGGCGCTACTTACTGTGTTTGTTTTGCCAAAGAGGCTCTCACTGCTCATGATTTTTATTCAGCAAAGGTAACATTGTATAGTTTGTTTTGGAAATATTTTCCGGATTTTACTGATTTCGCGTTTGAACAAAATGAAGTTTTAAATCAGGGCTGAAGCAGTTTTTTTTGTCATATATGCTTAAGTGTGTCATTATCATTCTTGTTTCCAATATTGTCAGGGAGTATTCTAGTAATATTTTGTATTATGGTTTATATTCAGGTTCATTTATAGTCTTAGTTATTCTATTGTGAGTTTCTCTTATTCCCTGTTTAGCTTTTGATTATTAGACTCCCGCTTGTGTCTTTGCCCTCTGTGTCTCTCTATTTGTGCTGTATTTATATATATGGAGTTCTTGTGTCTTGTTTCCCTCCTCGTGTTTCATTCTTTGTTCTCCAATGCTTGCCATGTGTATCCATGTTTCCCCAGTCTGTCATGTCTCTCTTGTCTCCTCTTTCACTCCCTCGTACTCTCTCGTCTGCCTTTCCTCTACTCCTGTGTTATGTCCCTCTGTTTCCTGTTTGTCGTGTTTCCATGTTTGGTGTGTCTGGTTTTGCTTCCCGTGTGGCGTAGTATATTTTGCATTCTCAGTTTTGTTAATGTTGGTTTTCCTTGTGTTCAGCAATAAAGCTCTTTTTGAGTTACTTTTTGCCTACCTGGGTCTGCAGTTGGGTCCAATCCTGCCTGCTCAAGTTCATGACACTAAACTCAAAATTGGTCCCTAAAGCAATTTTTCCACCTACTGATCTGCTGACTGATCTTTTATAAATGTGCTCTGCTGTATAAAAAGGGTTAAACTCAGTGTCTACTTCAAAATACCTGTTAAGTCCTCTCTAATCTACCAGAAATACAGGAGCTCCAGTCTGTCCACATATTTTCTAAAAATAGTTTCATTCATATATAAGAAAAACTCCGTCATTGCTCCTGGGAGACTTTGGGACACTTTGCTCCATGTGAACAACTACAGTAGTCCATAGCAGATGTAAACCTTGTTTACATCTGCTATGAACCTTTGAACTTTAGATTATTGTTATAACAGCCTGATCTGAAAAATTAAAATTTAGAGTCTTCGCAAATTATAAACATTAAAATCTCAACCCTGAGATGTTAATGTTCCCCGAGATGAAATGTAGAAAAAACTCATGTGTATCAACAATGGACACGTGTGGAACACAGTTTGTAAAAGTTTGTGTCTGAAGACCTTTGCATTTGTTTTCATAGTTTTTAACAATATTTTTGTTAAAACGTTTAAATCAACCATTAATAGGGACTTAAAAAAAGCATATACCACTTCCCTGTTTGCAATATTCAAGACGATTTAAGAAATGTAGTAAATGTAAATGCAAATGTAGTAAAGACAACGCTGGAATCCATATTAAAAAATCAAGTTTGACATTGTTTTTCTAATCCAGTGCATAACATTTGGTCTGAGTGGGTTTTTTTGGCTGTAGCAAACAAATTATTTTGATGTGATTTTGCAAGCACAGAAGTTGTCAGCTGATAATTAAAAAAAAAATCCTCAAAACAAAAACTGTTGGAGTTTAGTTTAATTATTTTCTTACATCAGATCAAAATCTAATCATGTATTTAACAATTGCAGTCTGCCTGTTCAGTTTTTCTACTGAGTATAAACACACAGGAAGAGATAGTTTGAGACCATAAGAGTACATGTATGACCAGTGAGGGATATCATGTACCGTAATCGAAAACATAAAGCTCTGTAGACCGACTATAGAACAATAAATTTGGGAATTTTAAACCTCGCATAATCAGACAACACGTTTAGTAGAGCCTGGCTTTTCATGTTTTCCATCTGAATCGCACCCATATTTAAAATTTTCCCGAACAATGTTTGGACAAAGATAAAGTTTTGATATTTATTTCATAATAAACACAATCCCTCTGAAACATATGGTCATAGTTTCTGCATTTAAAGTGCCCATGTAAGATGAGAAATATAATGTAATGAGAGGGTGCGGTGGCTGAGCTGTCCTGAAGTGTGGTTAAGTTTGTTCATATAGTTTTGGACTCCACACCTAAATCCTTTGTTCAAAGATGTCTCACCTATTTACCTATGAACAGACTTCACACTGTTAAGGATGCACCATAATCTTTCTTTCATCAAAAAATATGAAAGAGTAGAATGATAAATAAAGTTTCACGTGATATAAACTGCATGTTTTATTGCAGATGTGTCAAACTCATTTTAGTTTGTGAACCACATGTAACCCAATTTAACTGCAAGTAGGCTAAAGAAATAAAACCACAATAATGTATATTTAGAAAAATAATCCACTGCCTACCACTCCACACTGGTCATTGCTGCTTGTATAACCACAAAGGTAAAAGAAAAGAAACAAGAGAAAGCAAAAGGGAAGAAAAGACTAACACTAAGAGCCTATAGAGAATCTTCAGTGCTCTTCTTGGCAAATGAAATGTGTTTGGGACAACAAAGTGTTTAGACCATGACTCTGCTTGAAAAAAACGATGGCTAGAAAAGATTAAACTAAGAAAAAGAAATAGTGGCTATAAGTCATAGTATTGCCTAACAATCAAAATATCCCTAGCCTGATCCTGGGAGAAGGTACAAATCCTTTGGGGAAGTCTGAAATCAGGAAGAGCAAAAAATTAATTATAAAATGAAATATCAAATGCAGCCAAACAGCCCCTTGACATTGATCCAAACATTTAATCTAGAAATGTTTCCAAACATTTCTACTTCTCAGAAATAATGCTGCCATCACTTCACTTTTCTCCAAAGGCCAGTAGGCTGCATGTTTGACACTTCCACTATGCCCCCAATTTGTGCACATCTCAGGAAGGATATTAGCCCACTCCTCTTTACAAAAGTTTTCTAAATCCTGTAGTTTCCTTGGCTGCCACTTGGTGGAGCTTTTGCTCCTTCCTCAGTTTTCATATAGGACTGAGGTGTGGGGACTGCGTGGGCCACTCCATGATGTCAATGTGCTTCATCTTTACCCAATCTTTTGTTGGCTTGATGGTATGTTTTTGGACTCATCCATCACTCATCTTCCGTGTTCTGGCTGAGTTCACGAACACTGAAGATTTCATGGTGCAAGATCCCTGTACTTGATTTTGCTGTCATCTGACCACATCACTTTCCATCAAGCTTTCACTGAATCATTTAGATGTCACTGGCAAACATAAGTTGGTCTGTACGTGTGCCATCTGGAGTAGGGGAACCTTGACCACCTACAGTGACTAGGTGACTATGGTCCAACACACATTATTAACAAGTTCCTGCTCTTTAGTTTTGGGCTATCCACCACCTTTCTCATCCTCATGAGTTGGGAGAAGGAGTCTCTACTTCTTGACACTCTGTGACATGCAAATTGTTTTCTCACTTTGATGTAATGTTTTTTCTGGATTTTTTGGTTGATGTGTTTCCCCATTAAAATGACCATAATAATAAAATAATAAAGCATAAAATAGAGATTGTTTACTTCTATGTAAGTGAGTAAACATTCAAATTAAACAGGAGATCAAATAATTATTTCTGTTACTGTAAATGTACATGCTTAGAGTCTCCATATGTTAAAATATAATGAATTAGCCACATTTATCAAAGTAAAAGTAAAACACAAGCTAAGCTTTTATTGATCTATTTTGATTGAATTTTGCAAGCTTGTAAGCTGGAGGAAGTGAACTCGAGTAAGCCTGTTCTTGGACCTGTTCTAACAGAGGGCAGATTGCCAGCTGCCAGCCCTTTCAAATCAGTGCTCGATGAGCAAAAAGGATCAGACACTCACTAAATGTTTTAAAGGGGTAAGCAAGGTAACAAATAATAAAAAGGCACACAAGTTTTATCTCGAGGATGGGTTACTGCTGAGGAAATGGGTCTCAAGACCTGCTGCACAGCAGAAGGGGATCGATGAAGATTGGGGGGTGGTGCATCAAGTAGTCATTCCTAAGGGATTCCGTGATGGCATATTGCAGCTTGCGCATGAACACCCACGGTCAGGTCATTTAACAATCACTAAAACCTATGAACGCATTCTTCAGCATTTATTCCAGGTCTGAAGAAAGACGTTGCCAGATTCTGTAGAAGAAGCAGGGTTTGCCAAATTGTGGGTAAACCTAATCAGATAGTACAACCTGTTCCCCTTAACTAGGGATGGGTACCAGTATCCGGTGCCATGATGGCACCGGTTCTGTCATAAACGGTAGTAACCAGACCGAAAAGCAGCGCACATTTCGGTGCTTTATTTTGGTGCTTTTTTTTCCTGAGTTGTGATACACTTTAGATTCTAGCCAATCATTTTACATTTCCGAGGATAGTAGGCGGGCCCAGATACGTACGTTCTTTTAGAGCAGAGCTACAGATTAAAAATGCCCAAAGCGAAGCGGTCAAAAGTCTGGCTGTACTTCACAGCAAAATATGCAAACTCAGCAGCCTGCAACAAGTGCTTTAAGCTGATACTGTCAAAGGAGGTAACACCTCAAATCCGATCAAACACCTGGCGACACATAGCAGTTTTTTTAAAGCCGAGAAATGCGCCGTATTTGATAGCTTGCTGCGAGACCTCACACCGAGCACATCTACTGTGGGTGTGGCGCCTGTTATCGGACCCGGAGTTAGCAATATCCCCCAAAAACCCGAAGAGTACAGTCCTGGCCCCTAGCCCTGCCAGTGTAGCAGAAATGATGACGGATGATGATGGCAGCAGCAGCCGTTCTTCTCTGCGTGAGTAGCTTAATGTTGTCCGTGTGTAATTTACGTTGAGTAGGCTAACCACGTTATTACATTAATGCATGTAAGGTGAACTAGCAAACACCGTCGTAGTTACATGCGGCTGTCTTCTTGTTTGATGGCAGATGCTCCCTTCACCCTGGCCAAAAAAGCTAAAATGACCAAAGAAAAAGTGGAAAACAGTTAAACATGAGAAGTTTTTGGACAAAGTTTGTGTTTTTTCCATTGTTTAAGCAGTGCTTCCAGCCAAGAGTGATATCATATATGCCCTCTAGCTGCAGAAAAGGCTAACATTGTTATCTTTTTACAAAAAAACAGTTGAACATGAGAGGTTTTTGGACAAAGTTTGTGTTTTTTCCATTTTTTAAGCACCGGCTTCCAGCCAAGAGTGATACCATATATGCCCCATAGCTGCAGAAAAGGCTAACATTGTTATCTTTTTACAAAAAAACAGTTGAACATGAGAGGTTTTTGGACCAATTTGGTGTTCTCCATTCTTTAAGCACCGGCACCGTTTCAAAAGTACCGGTTTGGCACCGGTATCAGATAAAACCCAAACGATACCCATCCCTACCCTTAACCCATCCCAGGACTTGGTGGGCCTTTTGAGCGTGTCTTGCTGGATTGTGTGGGTTCCCTACTAAGAACAAAAGCTGGTAATCAGTTTCTCTTGACGATCATGTGTGCTGCAACCTGTTTTCCTGAAGGCATTCCTCTTCAAAAAATCACTGCTCCCACCATAAGGCCGTACTAAGACTCTTCTCAACATTTGGTCTGCCCAGAGTTATTCAAACTGACCAAGGCAGCAATTTTCAGTCAAAACTGTTTAAGCAGACTTTACAAACATTTGGCATTTTATATATCCTCTTGAGCCCTTACCACCCTCAGTCACAAGGAGCACTAGAAAGATGGCATCAGATTATAAAGGCGATGATGCAAAAATACTGTCTTGAGACTGAAAGGAACTGGGATGAAGGGCTACCTTTCCTACTTTTGCAGCTCGTGAAGCAAAACAAGAGTCCTTGGGTTTTAGCACTGCTGAATTGGTTTTTGGACATAGTGTATGAGCACCACTGAAAGCTCTAAAACAACAGCTTTTGTCAGCTACAATCAAATGGGCTTGAGTTTTTTACACAGTGTCAGGAAAGTCTGTACCAATCTTTGTCAATGGTGGCAATATGACAGAAAGACAGTGCAGAGTTCTTTTAAACCTGGTGACAATGTACTTATGTTGGTGCCCACACCTGGTCCAACTCTGTCAGCCCAATTAGCAGGTCCACACATTGGTTCATCCTCATGAAACTGCGACACGAATGAGGACTTACACAGCTTGCATGTTGCTACACGTTTTATTGCTTTAAACGCCACCAACACTCTGTTCCACATTTCCAGCTGCTACACAAACCCAACACTTCAGGTCCCGGCACAGCTGATCACGGGAGACATGATCAGCTGATGGAGCTCAGGTGTGTCGGCCTCCCCTGACTAGGGCTGTGTCCCAATCCAGCGACCACACGCTTCGTAGTGCGCATTTGGAGACCGATTACATCACAGGGACGCAACGAAGGGTGTCCCAATTCGAAGTGTACTCCAAATGCGGTTGACAAATGTGCAGTTCATTTCCCCAATTGGAAG